CTCCTAAACCTTTGTTCTTAATTCTACTCTTAATTCCAGCTTTATTTTGGTAACGATTTCTCTTATCTTAATCTTAGTTGTTTATTTTATTCCTTTAATCATGTCTTGCTTTATTGCTTTGATTAGTTTAGTTTTTACCATGTGTGAGTAGTTCTATTTCTAGGGTTTACAGGGATCCATGAATAATATGAAGGGGTAATTTATTGTTGTTAATTATCAATGCTAGATTAATTTCCTATTGATTGATTTAATGCTCTGTGACTAGATTAGGCCTATCTTTTATGCATGAGTTTGACAATATTGGTTCAAGATTCGATAGATGAGAATTGATGTTTAGGTCTAGTTTCAATAGGCAGATTAATTTATAAATGGTTAAGTCAAGATTCGAGAGATGAGATTTAATACCGGTAAATTAATTGTGTGATTGTAATACATAGCGAAAGCCCTTTACAATCTGGTTAATTGATGCATTGATGATTGACTATTATTGGTTCTTGATATTGCATGATAATTTCTTATTGAATTGTTAACGCTTTACAATTACGGCTTGTAAAAGTATAGCAATATTGGATTGATGAATCGAGCAGATGTTAATTTGATATTAAAGGCTATTTTCAATAATAACTTAGAACTAGTAAATTGCGAGAGCTTGTTAGATCTATGTTGATTAATAAATTGCGCGAGCCTGTTAATCATGTTATTTATGCAATGTCGATGATTGATTACTATGTTTTACCCTGGAGTATTATTTATTAGTGAACCTATGCCCTAGATCCTTTTATATATTGTTTTCTCCCTATTCTCAATCTTAGTAGTTTAGTTTCTTATTCAAATATAAATATTGGTTACTTCATAATCTAGATTATTTTAGTTAATTAGGAATAGAAAGACTTGTTTCCCTGTGGAGATCGACCCTACTTTCCTATCTGCTTTAGTTAGAGGACTTAGGAATTATTTTTGATTAGGGGATACGACTTTACCCTGTCAGGAACTCAAAGAATAATTCTACTTCGACAGCACAACATTTTTTGCTCGGATCAGATGAAGTTGCTAGAGTGCCGCCAGAAGGGGTTTCTTCGTGATTATGTGAAGGAACACTCGGCGATATTGTTGTACATCACAGACATGAACGAGAAAGTTCATGTGTTCAACTTTATCATTGGGTTAAAGGAATGGGCGTAGCAAGATATTTTAAGGTAGAAGGTTGATACCCTCGCTGCTGCTAGGTGTGCTGCTAAGAGATTGGTGGACTACTCAGTCGGGAAGGGCTGTCAATCCGAGAATGATTTAAGTGGGACATCATCACGCTCCATTAGCCCGACTCCAAGCTTTCTAAAGGGTACAAAGAACATCTCTCGAGTATCGTCCAACACCGTTAATGCATATTAGAGAAAAAGTGGAGGAGGTGATGTGCAGAGATCAACATTGACCCCCTCCCATATCTCCGGAAACTTTAAGGCCCACACGTCCTCGAAAAATACTAGGCCGTTGAATTGTATACTTTGTCGAGGCCCACACAAATGGTGGAGTGCGAGCATAAAGATGAGCTTGACAAGATCCAAAAGAGATTGTCACATCCATGTCCGTGCAAGATCCTGCAAAGGAGAAAGAGACCACCAGAGCCAGCAGTCCAGTTCAAAGAATGGGTGCGATCTACATGATGAGCTCCATGAGAATGATCGCCCTAGAAGGACCCAAAGTCCAATACCTGTCGGTAATGCGAGTGATGGAGCCAGAGAAGAAGGCGACATCGAAGAAACAAGCTCACACTAGAGACACCCAGAAGCGGGAGATGAAGCCCGGTGAGTTGGCAACATCCAAGATACACCCCCGCCAAACCCAGAATCGGACACCCGGTTCGAAGCGAAGAGCGACGAGCCCAGAGACACCGTAGAGACACCAAAGGAGAACCTCCCAAGAGAGAGGGAAAACAGTGATTGAGCAAACAACGAAGGTCGTGTGTAGGGGATCAGAGAAATAATGGTCACCCAAGAGACACTAGCCACAACTTGAAGCTCACCATTACGGTCTCCAAGCAGCAGCTCCCCAACATATGACATTATGACCAAGGAAGCAGCCTGCCTTCAAAAACTATGAGATTCAACTCCCAAGAGGAAATTCAGAAATCAAGCTCTCAACAAGTTGTTCAAGATGAGCCACCTTTGAGACAAGATCCTCATCAACAAAGAAGATCCAGCACAAAAATTAGCAAAGATTCAAGAAGTTAGCCGCATCTTTTGCGCATCAGAGACTCAAGATAGTGTAGGATTTTCTAATTTTGATTGTAGCTCTTGTAAGTCGATGAGGTCGTCGACAACTTTAGTAGGGGAGGATGTTAGAATCCGACTTCTTTTCATGTTTTAGATTCCCTTTATATGCTTTCTTAGAGCTTACTTTATGTTTTCTAAGCCTGAGGTCCCATTATTGTGTTACTATCAGTTCAGTGTTCACTAGGGATCCTCCTTGTAATCAAATTAAAGCTCTATAGAGGGTGATGATTAATGAAATCTTGAGCCTTCTATCAAGTGTTTCCTTGATTTTATGCTGCTTGTTGTTATAACTTTATAGATATTGTGTCTTACTTGCATAATATCTCCCCTAGTACGAGAGGAACTGTTGCTTCACACGATTGGTCATCGCGCTTGGTTGAAAAGCCAGAGGCGCGAAGCTACCGTGTGCTTGATTATGACTGAACGCCACTAAGTCAGAATCTGAGCCAGAAACGAAGAATGCATCCGTCGACCAATTGCATTCATACAGTAGGGGCTTTGGCCTCCAAGGGCACGTGTCGTAGGCTAAGCTCGAACGGTGGACGCGATCCGTGAGAACCGCCTCGAAGTACAATTCCTAGCGAGCGGCGGGTTGAATCTTTTGTAGACGAATTAAATACGCGACGAGGTATTGTAAGTGGTAGAGTGCCCTTGATGCCATGATCCACTTAGATTCAACTCTATGTCGCTTTGATTTGTCCCTCCCCCTTATTCCCTAACAACACCTATATATTGAAAAACGAGGTTAGCAGTGCTTTTTATATGCTAAAAAATGCTAATTAGTGGATTGAGACAAGTCACAAAGCCAAAGTGTTGGGGTGTGGGATGGTGCAAGGGGGCGTGTTACATGTGCACAAGACATATGCACCCAAGGACAAGGCATACAGACAACTAGTTTGTTTTGAGGGCATGTCGTCGTTGCCTTAAGACATGACGATTAAGGATGAATGAGATGGTTTTAGGCATTATCCATGACTCCCAAGGGCCATTAGGAACCCAGGGAAGTACTTGGGTGCATAACCTTGCCGGGTGAAAAAATGATGTATGGAAGCCAACTTTGAAGGCTATAATAAATGAATTCGGAGCAATTTAGGAGGCGTCGGGATCCGGTGTTAGAAATTCACGGAATTATACGGGATACATCCCGGGGTCATATTATGTTGTTTGGACCCATATAAGACCATAAACCGGCTACATAAAGGCCCCGTGCAAGCTTATAGCCAATACAAGAGGCGTGAACGGAAACTGGTAAATTGGATGGGTCTACCCACCCAATTGGAATCCCGGAGGATATTAGGGTCTATAGGTAGCTTCTCGGCAATTTTTGTTAATACATGCTTTTTGGCCAATTTCGGAGGTTCCAGGAACCGGTGTCTAAAATTCTCGAGATACCATAGGATACATCCCAGGGTCATGTAATGTCGTTTGGAACCATATATAATAATTATAAGTTTCCGTAAATGTCCCTGGTAGCCTCAAGTTTATGAAATGGGTGCAAGTTGTAAATAGGTAAATTGACAGTTTGAAGGCATATTGAATGGTTTTACCAACCCAAATAGACTCTTGGGGGTGTATTAGGGTCCATCGGAAGTATCTCGGCAATTTTTGTTTTTGGGTCTGAAAAAGTGAAAAATTGTCCGAAATTGAAGGCTATACATGATTTCGGGACAATTTTTGACATTTTTTCACAAAATGAACTGAATGCGTGGGGTGACTCATGGGGTCATATAAGATGGTTTGAAATCATAACACACCTATAAAGATGTATATAAAGTACCAAGAATGAGTTATGTTTCTATTTTGAAATTCATGAAATTTTGAAATATAATGAAGGTTACACCCATTCACGATCCATGAGATCACTAACTCCATAGTGGTCATGAACTAAGACTGGATATTTGGGGATGAAAGTAAAAATCCAACTTAAAAGAGGTTGAACCTGCCCTAAAAGTAGGCCTCTACTTTATTCTTCTCATATACATGTGCGCTTTCTGACTAACATATAATCATTAGATTAATCCTAAACCTGTTTAATCTATGTTGGTTGAATATTAAAGCACAAATAAATCTATTATTGGCGATCACTTGAATTAAAGTCATATTAGCCTAAATAATATTATTAATTACCTTATTAAGCGTGATTCAAGTACAAATTCCCTTTAAACTTGCAAGAGAGGGCGTGATCAAGCAATAACAATAATATATCAAGAAACATATAATAAATAACAACAATCATCATTATAATATCCTCATCAAAGCATAATAATACTAACAAGATCCTAGACATGATACTAACAAGATTAATAACAAATCTTAGCATGTCATTAAACAATAAAGATCAAAGCTTTAGCCCTAACATGATACTTACATGATAGAAGAAATAAGAAGCAACCTAAACATGATACTAGAAAGCAATAAAAGACATCCTAACATGATACTAGGAATTAAAATAATCTAAGCATGCTCTCTAAAGATGTATAAATAAAACTACTTACTTTATTGCCTCGTATCTCTTTCTATCAAAACAATACACGCGTTAGTAACTTCTATAAAAATATTGAATCAAACAATTAATTTAAATAATTGAAACAGGGATTTGGGACCAAACCCTCAGAAATTATAAACCTTTCATGTCTAAGGCGAAGGCAACTTCGAGCTTGGCTAGGTGTGTCTAGAACTCGTGAATGCGGTATTGTGTTTGTAAAAAGGCCAGGCTTAGAAAGAGGAGAAAGAATAAGCTATTTCTTAATAGAGAGAAGAGAATAGAATTAGAGGATTGTTGATGATTGAAAACAGGGAAAAAGACCCTATATATAGAGAAAAATGATCGAAAACAATAAAATAGAGTTAGAATGTAACACCCCAATAATTCTCTCTTCAAACCTGTGAGTACCCTAAACTATATTTAAGAGAATTACTGGCGTGTTACCGCAACATGTTCAAACCTTAAGGCTATATAATCAGAAATTAGCAGCGGAAAAATTGAATCAGTTATAAATAAGTATCAAAACCAACAAACAAAACCAAATTAAGTCTTACAACTTGGAACCATTAAGGCCCTTATTCAAAACTCAAACCAATAGAAGTAGAATAAAAATGAAATCGAGTTTAAGTAACTTCAGAAGTAAATAGCAATTAAAATGAGAAAAGCAACCAACACTCCACTCAAGATGCCACCACCTAGATACGAATGCTGCTGGTGTAAGAAGCTGGGGTTAGTCTGTAACACCCCAATAATTCTCTCTTTAATCCTATGAGTACCTTAAACAAAATGCAAGAGAATTAATGGCGTGCTACCGCCACGTGTTCAAACGTTAAGGCTAAATAAGAAACTAGCAGCGGAAAAACTAATTCAGTTATAAATAAGTTTCAAAACCAATAAACAAAACCAAATTAAGTCTTATAACTTGGAACCATTAAGGCCCTTATTCAAAACTCAAACTAGTGAAAGTAGTATAAAATGAAACCGAGTTTAAATAAATTCAAAAATAGTTGCAAAATAAGTTGTGAAAAGTTACCAACACTCCACTCAAAATCCCACCACCTTGATGCAAGTTCTGATATATAAAAACTTGTGATTAATCTGCTCCCCAATGTTACAAGTGTAAAAATTGGATCATTACAGGGTCATTGAAAGACGAAGGCCATGACCAAAGAAAGACACAAAAGCACGCAATCAGCAAAGCTGAGTACATACAAGCTGCGAAATATAATAAGAAATCACTAACATGCTACTAATAATCAATCATGACATACATTTTAATTAACTACTCAAACACTACGTACTAAGACTCCTCTATTTAATGACAATTTATTAATTTCATTATAATCATTGGATTAAGAAATAGACAAGGTTGTCCATCCCATGCTCCATTTGGAACATCAATAAAAGAAAAACCCCATGCCTCTTTTCGGAAACATTATATTAATAAAACATCCAACGACCACGAGCGCGACTCCTTGACCGTAGCTAGTATGAGATCTCATCTAACTCTTAGTTTTTGAAAAGTATTTGAAATAAGAGACTCAAAGATCAGACGGCCTCAAGAAAAGTGCATGGCTAATACCCCGTGTACCCCAACCCCTGATTGTCATTACTCCAGATGTTCACAAATCTAGAGTTTTATTGCTCATCTATCTTGCACTTTACGTGATTTACAAGTTTAGACTTGGTGATGACTCGTATACAAAACAATACAATCAATCCAATATCAATTCAATCAAGTAAAGCAAGTTTCCAATTCAATTCTTGATTTATTAGTGACAAGAAATATTTATTATTGATTCTTTTAACTAACTCGGTGTATAGTCACATTGAGTGCATAAAGCACCCCAAAAACCTTAACCTCGTCTTATAACACTTTAATAAACTCCCTCTAATCAAATCATAATTAATTCATGAAAGAGTATTAAAAATTAACCTCATGGAACCATTATCAAAATTAATTCCACTTATAAACAACCAAGAATTCTTAACCTTTAACTAATCATAACATATCCAATTGATAAGAAAATCACTTATTTTCTCAATCAATACCCAAACAATCAAATTTACAACAATACTAACTTACTTTAAAACCTTCAAAATCCAATTAAACAACACTTTAAAACATTTCCATTAGTTAAAATTAAATGCATTTATATAGTTCTTTAAATTTTCTTAACAAAAACCTTAAAATACACTCTTATACATGAAATTACAGAAGTTTTATAAAAATCTGAAAATTATTTAAAAACCCCTAAATAATCTCCCTTTTTAATGGGTGATTAAACCCTCTTTATAAAACATCAAAAGTAGTACATAGAAACTATTTCCAGCACTTTAGATTTATTAACAACCCTTCAAAACTTCATCAACACATCACTTTTATGCTCAATAATCAATTAAAAACACTAAGTACACAAAAGCCCCAAATTTCTTTGATATTAGAACCCTAAAATTATATCTTTATTAGTATTTCAAAACCCTAACTTCATAAAATTATGAGATATGAAAATTAACATTATAGTAATATGAAAATATGAATTTAAACAACAAAAACATATTTTTATCATACTAATAAAACTAATTTCAAACAAAATAAGTAAAAACCCAAAATCAATACATTAAAATTATACAAAGTAGATGAAACAAGGGAGGAAGAAGGGGGAAAAAGGTGGTTGCGGTGGCAGGCGCCAGCTGGGTGGTCGTCGGCGACCAGGCGGCGGCGGCAGGTGGGTCTGGCCGATAGGTAGGGACAATAGTGAATTAAATCTCACGTAGGAAGAGGAGGAAGAAGGAAGAAAATGAAAAGAGAAAAAAGAAAAATAAAATAAAAAACAAAGGAAAAAAACAAAGGAAAAGGAAAAATGAAATAAAATAAAATAAAGGAGAAGGAAAAATAGAACTAATCTTTTGAGTGGGAAAATTTTGGGGATTAATGGGGTATTTATAGGGGAAAATGTTATAGGGTAAGTTGAAAGATTAGGCCTCATTAAATTAATGGGCCAAATGAATGAAATGGACTAAGATTTAGTTGTATTGAAATAAATAATGGAATGAAGGTTCATAAAATAATTTGTACCAAAATAATTTTCGACCCAAATTAATAATTTGAATATTTTTAAATTAAATTACGGAAAAATACAAATCAATATTATAAATAAAATTAAATTTCATTTATAACATATTTAAAAATATAGGGGATTACATAATCTGCTCCCTAATATTACAAGTGAAAAAATTGGATCGTCACAGGGTCATTAAAAGGCGAAGGCCATGACCAAAGAAAGACACACAAAGCACGCAATCAGCAAATCTGAGTACATACAACCCGCGAAACATAATAAGAAATCCCTAGCATGCTACTAATACTCAACCATCATACATTACCGAACTATAGACTCAACACACGACTTAACATCAGTTTACTAAGACTTCACTATTTCAAAGTAGTTAACTCATCATTTTTATTCATTGGATTAAGCAATAGACAAGGTTGTCCAACCCATGCTCCATTTGGAAGCTCAATAAAAGAAAAACCCCATGCCTCCTTTCCGAAACATTAACAAAACATCCAACGACCACGGGTGCGACTCCGTGACCGTAGCTAGTATGTGAGATCTCATCTAACTCCTAGTTTTTGAAAAGTATTTGAAATAAGAGACTCGTAGATCAGACGACCTCAAGAAAAGTGCATGGCTAATAACCCGTGTACCCCAACCCCTGATTGTCATTACTCCAGATGTGCACAATCCAGAGTTTTATTACTCATTCATCTCGCACTTTACGTGATTTACAAGTTCAGACTTGGTGATGACTCAATTGCAAAACAATACAATCATTCCAATATCAATTCAATCAAGTAAAGCAAACTTTAAATTTCAATTCTTGATTTATTAGTGACAAGCAACATTTATCATTTATTCCTTTAATTACCTCGGTGTATAAACACCTTGAGTGCATAAAGCACCCCACAATCTTAACCTCGTTATATAAGACTTAAATTTCCTCTTTTACTCATTCTATCTTTATGATCATGAACGAGTAATAAATGAATCATTTCACCAATCACATACCTTTGCCTCTATGCAAACCTTGCATAATTAAAGCATAAACATTACTTGCAATAAAGAATAGTGCACAACATACGGAAATCACATTGTATAACCAAACAATTTAGCCCAGTCTTCTCTATACATGATACTAAGTTATCGATCCGTCCCTACACATCATCTAAAAGCAAGGTTTCGTAACTCGTACGTACCTTGTGTAAACGATTCGGTTGGCCACTTTAGAAACTAGAAGTCGCCTTCTACAAAATCCTCTCCTGAATTAAACAACAAGAATTAAAGCAATACCCAAGCAAATAAATTTACATCAATACCAAACTACTTAAAAACCTCTTAAACCATCAAAATAAAGCTTTTAAGTTGTTCCCATTAGTCAAAATTGATAATATAACATTCCATCTATAAGTTTATATGCTAAAATCCTGAAAATATAGTGATTAATACAAAATTACAGCAACTTTAAGGTAAGTGAATAATCTGAAAATTTGGTTTAAATATATAAAATAACCCTATAAACATAATTACTTGAAATAATCATTATAGTAAGTTAGTGTGTTAAAAACCCAAAAATATACCAATTCAATGCAATTAGAAGCTTCAAAATAAAAAGTATACAATCTGAAAATTTATTCTTGAGGTTATTATTTAAGTTCAAAGCTTTTTAATCATTAAATACCCACAATAATTATTTTGTAGGATTATTAGAAGCATAAAAATATGAAATTAACACAATTTGTTCATAAAAATTGAAACTTTAATAATATGAAATTTTATACATAATCAAAATAATTATACTTTAATGTAATTTGAACATCATATGATTAGATAACTTGGTTAAAGCGTTTTCAAGCCCTAAATTATGAAAAATCAATGTTTAAACCCTTATTTTCTTAATTAAACAAATCTGAAATTTTCTATAATAAATTAAACATGTGAAAACTCATAAATTCATAATCTTTTATAACCTATGTATAATATCAAACCATAATAATAAAAACTTAGAATCAAAATTAAGCAAAGATTAGAACTTTAAATCAATTTAATAAGATAATAAAAAAAAATAAAGGAAGAGAGGAAGAAGGAGGGTCGAACTACTGCAGGGGTGGCTGGAGGACGGCGGCAGCAGGGTAGGGCGGCGCAGCGGTGGCTGATGAGGGGGCGGCGGTGCAGGTGGCTGGGCTTCAGGGCAGCAGCTTCAATGTGTTTTTTTTTCTCTTGTGAATCACGTGAAGAGGAGAATAGGAATGAGGGGGTTTTCCTTTTTTTTTTTTTTTTTTTTACGTGAGAGAGGAAGAGTGTGAGGGTTTGGTGTTTTTATATTTTTGTAAGGGTATGGGCTTAACTCTCCTAATCCAAGTAGGAGTAGGATTGGTTTGGGCTTGAGTAAGATTTAAGTAGTGGGCTAGTAAATTTAAAAGGGATTATGATTTAAATTAAACACTTAATAGTTTTAGCTTTAAAATCTTATTGTTTTTACATCAAAATAATTCATATTATAAAATTAATATAAATAATAAATAAATATACCTTAAGTAAGTTGAAAATATGGGGGATTACAATGAATTCGAATTATTGGAATAAAACTGGAGCCATCGCGGAGCGATGAGACAGCTTTTTGCGGATTTTGTTTTTTAGCATATCTTTTGATCCAGAAGTTGAAATAATTCATATAATATGTCTTTGAAAAGATCTAGAAGTCTAATTTCCAACCTAATTGGAATCATATTATAATCTTTTGTAGAATAAAAGATAGGTCGAAATAGTGGAAGGGTGTCAGTTTTGAATAGAGTTTCGTATTTCTTTAATATCTTTTTCGTTATAGCTCGGAATTAATATTATAATATATCATTGGAAATATAATTTCAAGAGCTATTCAACCATCTAAGATTTGGGTAATAATTATGAGACACGAAAATAATATTTGATCATCTTTGAACGTCTTTAAATTCGAATAGAATTATGACTTAAATAAGAAAAGTTTTATTCAACTTTAAACTCTTTGATCTTATCTTATCGAAAAGGATAATTAAGATCTTTTAAAAACTCATAAAAGCTTCTAATTAATTCTTATTGGTTTAGGAATATAATTAAGATTAGTGGACCCTCTACATGATCATTGGGTTGCACGTACATAACACTCTTTTTAGGCCCCCAGTTTAGTATTTTGACCATAACTTCCTCATTATATCTCGGAATTAGGCTTATAATATATCGTTGAAAAGGTCTTTTCAATCCCCATCCAACTATACAATTATTGGACCCATATTATGTAATATACTAAGCAGGATTGGACGCTTTTCATAAATAGAATACAAAATGAATGATTTTCAAAAACAGATTTGAATTATTATTTTTTTATTAAAAACAGAGGAATTCACGAGACTTTTTCACATTTCACCTCGTTTGATAATCAATGACATGAAAAATATTCATCACTGGGTTTGATTTTTGGGGAGACACAATTGGTCATCGCAATTTGTTGAAAAGCCAGTGGCGCGAAGCTACCGTTTGCTAGATCATGACTGAATGCCTCTAAGTAAGAATACGAGCCAGAAGCAACGCATGCGTCCGCCACCCGATTTCCGTCCTACAGTAGGGAATTTGGCCCCCAAGGGCACATATCGTAGGCTAAGTTCGCGCGGTGGATGCGCCATGAGAGCCACCTTTAAGTACAATTCCTACCGAGCGGCGGGTTGAATCCTTTGCAGATGACATAAATACACGACGGGGTATTGTAAGTGGAAAAGTGGCCTTGGTGTCATGATCCACTGAGATTCATCCCTATGTCACTTCGATTCGTCCCTCCCCCCCACCCTATTCCCTAAAAACACCTATATTTTGGAAAACGAGGTTAGAAGTGCTTCTTATATGCTAAAAAATGCTAAGTAATGGATATAGAAAAGTCACAAAGTCAAAGTTTTGGGGTGTGGGATGGTGCAAGAGGGCATGTGGCATGTGCATAAGACATGTGCACCCAAGGATAAGGCATACAAACAACTAGTTCTGTCGTTTGAGGGCATGTTGCCGTTGCCTTAAGACATGATGATTAAGGATGAATAAGATGATTCTGGGCATTATCCATGACTCCCAAGGGACTTTGGGAATCCATGGAAGTACTTGAATGCATAATCTTGCCAGATGAAAAAACGATGAACGGAAGCCAACTTTGAAGGCTATAATACACGAATTCGAAGCAATTTAGCAGATGTCAGGACCCGGTGTAAAAAATTCACAGAATTTTACGCGATACATCTCGAGGTCATATGATGTTGTTTAAACCCATGTAAGAGCATAAGTCGTTTACATAAAGGCCCCGCGGAAGCTTATAACCAATACAAGAGACGTGAAAGGAAACTGATAAATTAGATGGTTAAAGGCAAATTGGATGGTTCCACCCACCCAATTGTTATCCCGGAGGGTATTAAGGTCTATAGTAGTTTCTCAGCAATTTTTTGTTTCCGGGTAAAAAAAAAGTCGAAAATTGACAAAATTAAAGGCTATAATACACGCTTTTTGGCCAATTTCGGAGGTTCCAAGACCCGGTGTCGAATAGTCTCCAGACACCAGGGGATACATACCAGGGTCATATAATGTCGTTTGGAACCATATATGATCATTATATGTTGCCATAAATGTCCGTGGTAGCCTCAAGTTTATGAAATGGGTGCAAGTTGTAAATGGGTAAATTGACACTTTGAAGGCATATTGGATGGTTTTACCCACCCAAATGGACTCTTGGGGTGTATTAGGGTCCATGGGAAGTATCACGGTAATTTTTGTTTTCGGGTCTAAAAAGTGAAAAATTATCCAAAACTGAAGGCTATGATACACGATTTCAGTACAATTTTGACATTTTTTTAAAAAATGAACTAAATGCGTGGGGTGACTCATGATGTAATCCCCCGTATTTATAAATATATTATAAACGATTTTTTTATTTATTTATAATATTTATGTGTGTTTTTCCGGGATTCAAGTTTTAAAGTTCCCAATTATTTTTGGGTTGATGTTTGATTTTGTTCTAAAAGGATTTTTAATTGTCCATTCTACAATTTATACCATACATATTAAACAAAGCTAGCCTATTTCATTTATCTAATTGGCCCATTAATTTTATGAGGCCCAATCTTAAAACTAATCCTACACCACCCTCTCTCCTATAAATATCCCATACATCCCCAAAAATTTTCCCACACAAAAGGTTAGTATTATTTAATTACTCCTTTATTTTATTCTTCTTTTCTTTTTCCTTTCTTTTATTTTTTTTTCTTTTTCTTTCCTTTTTCTTTTTTTTTTTCCTTTCTTTTTTCCCCTTATTCCTCCTTCCTACGTGATCCATGCTCACTGCTCCCCCCCCGCTGCCGCCACCTGCTGGCAGATGCCGCCGCCCGCCGGTGGCAACCCACTAGCGGCCCAGCCGTGGCCCACCATGGCTGCCCCTTTCCTCCTCCTTTTATTTTTACTCTAATATCTTGTTTATTATTAAATTGTTTTGGTTTTGTTTTTGTAGTACAAATGTTATATTTTTAGTATCAAATTCATGTTTTTAATAGTTTAAAGTATTAATTTCAAATTATAATTGTTATCATAATTTTCAGATTTTATGAATTATAAACCTAGGGTTTCAATTTATTCAAATTGGGATTTTAGGGTTCTAATGAGCAATTAATTTGGGGCTTTTGTTCCTATTATATTTATAATGAGTAATCAACCATAAAAACATATTTTTTAATGAAGTTTTAAGGACTTTTAATCTAAATTATAATGCTGAAAATTTGGTTAAGTATTAATTTATTGTTGTGATTATTTCTTAGGAGACTTTTAAGTGATTAAAAGTGGCACAAAGGATTGTTTATACGAGGTACGTACATGTCTACTTCGTTGCAAGTAGTATCATGTTTAAGTACCAAAAGGAAAGAACTTAGTTTCATGATTAGAGAACACTTGGGTGGAAATTGTTTGGTTATATATTTAATTAATTCATGTATTTATGTTTATGAGGCATGTTTTCGTGAATTAATTATGCTTGTATGGAATTATGGATGCTGATACAAACATATTTTATTGGATTGGTTTGTTAACCACATTTGGATTATTAAAGGATTGGAATTGAATGGTTTAAGTGGAATGAATTTATTAATTATTCCACAAGGTTGTTATTTATTTTATTTATTAATCAAGCATGACTTGTTAGTATGTTGAGTAAAGGTGGATTAAGCGGAAATGGCTAGGTGGGTTGACTATGTTCAACAATTTTGAATAATTTGGAAGTTTAATGAAATTAAAGGTCAGCTTGTGATGTGATCACCATTGTCCTAAATAAGATTAAAAATAAATTGATGTATGATTTTTATGTATGGTCTATTTGATTGAGTCGACTATTAATTAAAATTATAATCACGTAAAGTGAAACATGGATGAGCAATAAAAATCTGGAAAGCGTGCATTCTAGAGTATTTACAATTATGGGTTGGGGTACACGGTGGTAGCCCGTGGCTTTCTGAGGCTTGTTTGATCAACATGTCCTCTTTTCTTTTGGTATTTACATTTTATTTTACAATGAAAGTTAGATGGGATCTTAGACTAACTTTGTGAGGATGGAGTCGCGCCCATTCTTGCATCGCACTAAACTTTTATTTTAAATGGTCATTTGGGACCAAAATGATTTGGTGGATTGGACAACCTCGTCTATTGCTTACTCCAAATTAAATTAATTAAATTAAATATAAAGAGTCAAGTGTTTGGAATTGATTAGCAAAGTATGTTGAGTCGATTGAATTGTTTAAGTGTGGAGTCTTGATTAATGAATTCAAGTTGTATGTTTATTTACTTTAATTAGTTGAGCATGCTAGGTTTGGTCCGTTGTAGCTTGTATGTACTCAGCTTTGTTGATTGCGTGCTTTTGTGTGTTTTCTTTTAGTCATGGCCTTCGCCTTTCAATGACCCTGTGATGATCCAATTATTACACTTGTATTATTGGGGAGCAGTATTGCACAGGTTAGCTTGATGATGTGAAGTTCGGGGATTTGACATACGCATTGTCAAGGGATTGGTGTGATTGAGAGTATTCGTTCTTTGTGTTGAACTTATTTATGTTTTACTATTTTAATTATGTTTTGGGACTTTGATTATTGGTTTGGTTTTAAATAAGGGCCTTTATGGTTCAATTTGTAAGCTTTGACTTATTAGTTTTCTAAATTATATTATTTTAAGATTTAAGTCGGATTTCCGCTGCAATACTTTGATAAAGCCTTAACGTTTTAACACGTGGCGGTAACATGCCAATGGTTCTCCTCTATTTTTATTTAAAGTAAGTGGTTTGGAAAATGGAGAATTATTGGGGTGTTATACATGAAGTCATATAAGGTGGTTTGAAACCATAATACACCTATAAAGATGTATATAAAGTACCAAGAATGAGTTATGTTTCTATTTTGAAATTCATGAAATTATGATGTCATAAAAGTATATTGAAGTGATGTAACTTGACAATAATGGTGTCATATAAATAGAATGATGTCATATGAATATAATGATGTCATATGTATAAATGTGTATAACGATGTATAATGATGTTATGCGATGGACACTGTTTTCTTAGTGTCAGTTCCTACATGCCTCAACAGCTTTCATTGTTCTTTGAATTTTCTAGTTTTCACAGCGTTTTTTCGATTCTAGTTGTGAAAGATATTTCCTAAATTTCCAATGTGTAAAAAATCCTATGTTTTAAACACATTACGGA